CCAAGGACGGATGTGCATCCTGGCATCTCAACTCAAGATGATCAAGTGAGGTCTGCATAGGGTGGTGGCTGGCGGGTTGGACGCGCTGAACTTCGGCGGCGGCCGGATCCAGGCGAGCGGCGACGAGACCTTGCAAGGCGTCGGGGTTCTCCGGGGCGGCACCATGGTTGCTCCAGCGTGCTCCTGTAAGAAAAGGAGGGAGGACGAGGGAGAGGGAGAGAGAAAACCGGGAGGAAGGAGAGAAACGAGGGGAGGCACGACAGGGAGCTGTGCTGCTAGTTTCTCCGGTGAAGAGCAGATAGGGCACGGACGTTCGCGGGAGTGGGCGGCGTTTGGCGACGGAGGCGCTGGTCGGGGAGCGCGTGGTGCGAGCTCCTAGGGGGAGATGGACGAGGACGAGGACGGTCTGGTGCGCTGCTGGTGCGGGGAGGGCATGGGAGAGGGACGATTGCTCTGTATGTTGTGCGCTGCTGGTGTGCTCCTGTTAGTTTCATATTATACTGCTGCTTTCCTATTGTTTGTTGATTGATTGATGTTGCTGATGCTACTACTTTGATGCAGCAGCTGCTAATCTCATGTGGAGGACGCGGAGGGGCAGGCGGCGAGCGAATTGAATCTGGGAATTCACCCAGGGAAGCAACATATAATCTTCTGATCTTTGTCTTGCCTCCAGTGCAAGTTCAGTTTGTCCAGCAGTGCTCTTGACAAATTTCTAGAATGAAGAATGAAATACTTGGAGATAGGCTACCAATTCGGTAAGAATATATATGTCATGGATCTGTTTATAACTATTTTACTGTGCTTACATTTGGTCAGCAGGTTTTAGGCTGTACTGCAGCCTAAATGTGATCCTGCTTGTTGTTGCTATGCATTTTATATTTCCTGATATACTATGATTTCCCCGTTTTTAACCAGTTTGGGGCGTATAAGAAGAGAAAGTGAATAACTGAATGCAATGGCAGGTGTTGAACTGAGGTTTACACACATTGGTGCACATGATGTGTCAATCAAACATACTATAGCCCTCATATAATGGTTGTTGCTGTTTGCAAAGTAAGAATTGAATGATGCAAAGAGATTTATGCTGTAGAAGAACTTCCAAGGTAGTCTCCGAAGCCCTTTCATTGGAATTTGACAAAATTCCCAACCACATAGGTCACACACAATTTAAGCCTCCATGGTACTAAAAATGCCATGTCTGTCGGTCCTTTGTTTAGAAATGTTTTAGTCACATATTCTTATGTAATTACCGTATGACAAAAATAGCACTTCAGGCCCTTATTAACCGTGTTTCTCCTTTGTTTTGGTCTTCTCTTAATTTGTTTGTTTGCTTAAGGATGCCCCTAATTTTCTATAAGATTACAATGGCTCAAATAGCATGTAGATTTAATAAACCGAATAATTGATTGTTGGTGTTGTTTCTAGCGTATCACATATAGTAGCAGAGACTCAGCATGGGGGACTGCCGCTTGAAGAGATGCAAATGTTGCAACTTCACCAGAGGTTCTATGTTGGAGTTCTGTGTGTCAGTGGTTCAAGGTTCTTTCCCTTATTCTATTTTTCTTTCTGCAGTTTTTGTGTAATGTATGATTTATTCGTTCTAAAAGTTGTACGGTAACGAGCGAGCCTAATCTGAAAATATATTAGACTGACGATTGCTTTAGTTTGTTAGATGGGCATGATGTAGTTGTAGGAGACACATGCCTTCTATGTTCATGCCATTGTTTTTTTCAATTTTTAATTTGCAGACTTTACATTCCACAGTATCTTCGGCTGCCATTACGAAATGCCTATATATATATATATATATGGCTATAAATCCTCTATGATTACAGAGTGCAAACTACCTTTTGAGACATGTAAACTGAAGCCTGAAAAAATGCAGAATGAAAAACGCCTTGATATTCAGTAGCAGCAGTGAGAACATGTATATATTCTGTTGGTGAAAAGTTTTCAGATAAACAGTAGCAGTAGCAGTAGAAATGCGCCAGGGGATGTGAACGCCATAGAAATCGCAGAGGCCTACCTTGATATCTGAAAAACGCCTTGATATTCAGTAGCAGTAGCAGTATGAAATGCGCCAGGTTTTTTGTTATATAGTCTTTTTGCCCTGTGTTTAATTACTAGATGTGCTGCACACTGATCCATGTATATATTCTGTTAGTGAAAAGTTTTGACTATCGAGTTTCGTCAGACATGAGTTTTAGAAATTTTCAGTTACTTTTCTATGCCTACCATTGTGATGGAGATTGTAATACTGTGTTTAAAATATGTCAGTCCATGTGCAAGTCAGCTGCAAGTGCTAGGTAGCATCTTGCACTAGGTTGATTTGAATAATTACTCTTCTTTTGCACTGGTACTGAAACTTGGCAGTTCACAAGGATTGGCACCATGGACTGGAGAATCGTCGCAACCATCGTGGACACACCAGGGGCAGGGGCTGCATGCAGCCAAGTCCGAGGCGACTGCCAAGAAGACTGGGCTCGATGTAGTGACCGAGGAGGCGCATGCCGCAGGGTATGCTCTTCTAATTAGTATGATGATTTGCATATGTACCAATGCTACTCTCAATGGATTCGCTAACAATCTTCATATTTTCGTATTGAATGTGGAGGTATATATATAGTATGATGATTTCCATGGTATCAGGTTCTGTAAATGCATGTTCTGGTACAATATTTGTTTTTTTAGATCCAGCCTTTTTTGCTAATAAATCTATAGTTCAATCTGGATTCAAAATCTAAGAAATTTATGGCCTTGTGTTGATAGTTGCAGTTACACACTGATGGACTGTGTTTATTTTTTTTATGGAAACAGAGAAGCCGATTATTCTGTTTGCACGACGGGTATCCAAAATTCTAATTCAGATATTAGTGATGATATAACAATGTCGTCTGCCAAATTGTGATTCGGGCGAGCCTAGCTTAGCTGGGAGCCACCGAAGATTGTGTGGTGCACGGGAGATAGAGACTCCACCGGATATTTTGTCGTGTCCACTAACAACAACGACATGGATAGTGAGCTCACTGCTGGACATGATTGCCCTATTTATAATCTGTTGGGTAGTCCTATTTGGTGGATTGTATCTATAGCATGTTGAAAGCAAATGTAACCTCATTGATTTTCACATTACTCTTCAGTATATCTGATCTTTCTCTACAAGGAGCCTACAGTTTGTAATGTTGTATTTCTTTTGTGAGACCTCCACGAGCTGTCTATGAACCATATATGCAGTAGACGTTCCCATATGTATTTATTCGATTTCGAAAGGAATGTTAAAATTCTTATGCTCAACTATAATTTAAAATTTCCAGTCCTTTCGGCACGGCCAACTTTATATTTGTTGGTGGACACCTGCATGGTTACTATCTATATCTAGGGACCTCATATATTGTGCACTATGTGCTGGGAGAAGATGCGACGTGCCCACTTGGACTGGCCCATGCGCGGGCGGCCTGTTCTTTTATTTTTATTTTCCTTATTTTTTTCTACTTTAAATAGTTTAGGACTTCAAAAAATTCAATTTTGAAATAAAAGTTTTAATAAATCATAAAACGTTTGTGGATTCAAAAAATGTTGTGCTTTTTTAAACAAATGTTTGCTTATGCAAAAAGATGTACGAAATTTTGAAAACAAATGTTTGGGAAATCAAAAAGTGTTCATAATTTCTTAAAAAGTTTGTGTATTAAAACATATCAATAAAATTGAACAAAATTTTGTCAATGCAAAAAATGTTCATAAATGGTAAATATCCTAAAAATTCAAAAATGTTCGTGACTTACAAAATAGTTTATTCATTCATAAAATGTTCTTTGATTCAAAAAATGATCATGCATTTCAAAAGATGTCGGTTAAATCAAAAAAATGTTCGTCAATTAAAAAAATTGTTCCACCAATTTCCAAAAAAATGTTTGTTAATTCTAGGAATGATCGCCTATTCAAGAAAATTGTTTATCAAAATATTCATAATTTAAAACAAAATGTTAGAAAATAATATAAAAAGTTCATAAATATAAAAAATGTTCTTGCTTTTAGAAAATATCCGTATATTTGTAAAAGTGTTCATGAATTGGAAAAATGTTTACGAGTTTTAAAAAATGTTTATGATTTCAAAAATTATTCAAGATTTCACGAAATTGCGGGTGATAGTGTATCTCGGTGATGCAGCAAAATGTGATCATGGCAATTGAAGATTATGATTATTTTTTCCCGTTGCAACGCACGGGCCCTTTTGCTAGTAATAATAAAGCACGGATTGAGTCTCCGGGTTCAACATCACGGCGTTTTTCAAAAAAGACCTTACGTTTTTTTTAAATTTACCCGCAGTCCTCCTAACAAGTCAGCACGAACCGGTACATGAGAGAAAAAAAATAGTTAAAAGCACCAGGAGTCCTAGAACTTGCTCTCAATGTGATGCTTTAGTCCTACAACTTGAAATTTGACCCTACCCAGTCCCTCAACTTGCATAAAATGTGCAAATTTGGTCCTGACGAATCAGAGAGCGCCATGTGGACGTGTGGGTGCATACCCGGTCAGCGCGTGCTCTTTTGCGAAAAGGCCCCTGGCGTTGCTGTGAATCAACCCGCACAGATGAGCACTTTGGGGTGTACAGATCAAGGCGTTACATTTGTAGAATAGCCACAGATAATTCTGTATACTCCTCTTTTTTGGATGTAGATACCCTGATTAATTTTACACTCTTTGGGGTGTTCATAATAATGCAAAAGATCTTTACATTCAGACTAGCTTGTTTGTAAACTAAAAAAAAAGCTTGTTTGTAGCTTGGATGATGCTGGTTAGCAAGAAGTCGAGATTAAGCAGGCCGTCAGTGGGGAAATAACTAAGTGGTAAAGTCACTCAAAACAGGTCATGAGGAGTACAGATCAAAATGATGATTTATAAGCTCGCACACAAGAAGGGGTAAATCCTCTGAATGTTTCAGGCACAGAAGCTAACGGGAGCAGGATTCGAGTGCTCTGACGGCGCATAGAAGGTGGGTTTCAGGGCATCTGCCCGCCGCCGACGCCCTGCTCGTCGCCGCCCCCCGGCCCTGCGGCCTCCCAGAGCTCTAGTATTTCGACGCGCCGGTTGGTCCGCTTCCTGATCTTGATGGCCACGTCCTGCGGGCTGAAGGCGCCCCAGACGCTCACCCGGCCATTCTTCCGGTCGATCAGGTGGCTCTCCAGCTCTGCCAATTTTGTTTCAGACAACGCAGAGCAAGACACAGAGCAACTTCAGAGAACGTAGGACGTACTACGTACCTTGCATCTGGAGCAGCGCCCTCCTGATCTTCTGGCAGTGGTAGCACCCGTTGCAGTTCTGTCAAGCTTCCCCCAACCCTATCAATGGCGGCCATCTTGGGAACGGCGAGAGCGAAGGCGACGGCGGCGTCGCCGGCGGGGCTGACAGCGAGGCTTGAGTACACCGGGGACGCCGCGCTCCGGCCGCCCGCCTCCCCCCGCTCGCCGTCGCCGAGGCAGCCGTACTTGAGCAAGCAGAGCACGAACGGCTGCCTCCGACCCTATCAATGGCGGCCATCTTGGGAACGGCGAGAGCGAGGGCGACGGCGGCGTCGCCGGCGGGGCTGACGGCGAGGCTTGAGTACACCGGGGACGCCGCGCTCCGGCCGCCCGCCTCCCCCGGCTCGCCGTCGCCGAGGCAGCCGTACTTGAGCAAGCAGAGCACGAACAGCTGCCTCTTCCTCGCGTGCAGGCGGGATCAGTGCAAGCTCACATGATGGCCGTCATCTCCGGCGGCGAGGCCGGCGCCGGGGCCGTGGGACGAGGCTGCCCCGAGCAGCGTGAAGGTGGTGGCCATGCTTGATTTTATTTATCTTCCTGCTCTTTCTGCTTCTGTGTTCGGGTCATACACTCTTGCCCCTTCAAGATTTCTACTGATTCTTTTGACTGGCTTTAATTGTTTTGGCCCTGATGGGCGTTATTTTCCTGCACACACGTGAGGAAAACATGATGCACAACAGATCTTTTGGGCTGGAAAAAAATCCACAATTCTTACGAATAGTATGAGTCAAAGTCAGTACTTGTAGAAAAAATTCTGATCAAATTGCAAAAGAGACTTGGTGGCTGTTTGGGAAAAAACAAGAGCTGTCTTGATCTATTATTTTGTTAGCAAACCAAGTTAGGGCCGCAGAAGTTGGCAACAGCTCACCGGGGTTACAAGGGGTTATCAGCAACGCCAGGGGCCTCTTTACAAAAGAGCACGCGCTGACCGGGTATACACCCACAGGTCCACATGGCGCTCTTTGATTCGTTAGGACCAAATTTGCACATTTTATGCAAGTTGAGGGACTGGATAGGGTCAAATTTCAAGTTGTAGGACTAAAGCATCACATTGAGAGCAAGTTCTAGGACTCCTGGTGCTTTTAACTCTTTATTTCCTACGGGTGACAATTATTAACACTAGAGTTGAATTTGTGGATAGTCGCCTCTCACAGTAATATCCTTGTATATTGGTGCTCCTGTAGTTTGCACATTCAGTATCATCGGTGTTGTTAAGCTACTTGCCTGTACAATTCCACGGAGCTCGAGTGTCATGGGAGTTGCTTCCCTGCAAGAGAGAAGAATTCAAAAAGGGAGAGAGCAGAGAAGAAGGAAAAGGATAGGGCGGCGTGGCCGTGGGTACATGCGCACATTAAAGGATGCAAGCGAACGGCTCGGGCAGGACCGCAGGAGACGTGGCGCACGGCGGCGGCTCTCCTCGGGAGGAGCTTGGGCGTTGAGAGAGGTTTGATATTTGAGATGTAGTGCTACGTGTTTGCTCTCCATTTTTGTAGGGATCGGAATTTCAGAATACACTTGTTGATTGTTTTATTGTCAATTTTCAGTATATTATTAGTGACTAATTATTTCCTAATTTTGTTTATTTTGGTTGGAGAGAATATGTAAAGCTAATGTTTGAGCAGGAGAGTGAAAAGATGCAAGAGTGATACATCCAAGCACTTGATTTGAGTCAAACTTGGTTTGCTGTACAGAATTCCACCGTATTTGTCCACACAAATAGTCCGTCATATTTAGTCAAGATTGTTTTTCTCCATAGTTCAGTGTCTACATCTTTATTCTCCTAATATAGTCATACTCTCCATTTTATAAAGTGCAGATGTACTTTGGCCAATTGATTTTAGTAGTCCTCCTGTTTGTACAGTATGGATGAAATTTGACCTACCAGTATACCTATAAAGATATTAAGATTGGATATTTAAGAATCCTATACGAACTTTTGTCTTCAACATGATTTCACAATATATAGTTTTATGACATTTCAGTAAATATATTCAAGTAAAATATTGGTGGTTAAAGCCGGATTATGGAGATCTTACCAAAACAAACAACTACTAGGAACTAGATCAATGTATGTTTGCAAGTCAAGCTCAGCTTATAGTGATTGTGAAGCGAGATTGAATGCATTTTGGCGATGAAATCACGTAGGATCAAAGCGGAGGTGCCTGCTTTCTACCAAGAAATTGCATCTTCATCAAATGTTTATGTCTTCCTTTCTTCCTTGACAATCTGAATCTGAATACTACTTTCTTTTCCTGGATGTAGCTTCCACTATAGTATATAGCTACCTTCCATGTCTTTTGTGAACCCAGTTTGTAGTGTGCCACTCTGAAGCTGAATTCTTCCTGTGTACCCAGTTTGTAGTGTGCCACTCTGAAGCTGAATTCTTCCTGGATGTATCATGCACCTGTGTCTTCTTGTTGTATATTCTCAAGTCTCAACTGCAGATTCTCAAAGGCTTTGGACACCACTTGGACCTACAACAAAGATTTGGACTATTTAATTTAGTGACATTGATCATAGCCGCTTGCTGGTTTTCTTCACTCACCAGCTCTAGCTTTTGGCGTACACGGTACACCGTGACAATTCTATCTTGGTTCTAGACAAATAGGTTGCATGTTCTTCTATTATCAGGAGTATCATGTTTTCATTTGTAGTTCGGTTATTAAGCTAAAGCTAAAGACCTAATTGTACTGTCTAGAGGTGGAATGGCTAAGCTCTCTTTATGATCCTTTCTGCCGAATATCTTGCAAATGCCACACTAAAGTGCAGGAAATTATTAGGTGTGTGGTTATCAGTCCACTATGTTCTTATGTCTATGGATTTGGAAAATGTTGACACTTTTTTGGTTTCGGTCACAAAAATGTTTGTATAGGATATCATCTTGAATATATGTAGTTCTAAAGTAATACTACTTCCCAGTTAGTTCATTGAAGTATTGATACGATCAATTGGATGTTTTTCTACGGTTATGGATCTAGCGGAAAAATTGTTGTTTTGACATCATTGTTTTTCTTCACAGTTCATTGTCAGAATATTTATTCTCCTAATACATTCATATTGTCCATATAAGTGCATTTTCCTAGATCTAGCGGTAAAAGTACTTTGTACTTTGACCAATTGATTTCCCTAGATCCCCTGTTTGTACAGTAACTGAAGTACTAAACAAAGAATACATGAAACTGTAAAATCAAGTGCTTTTTCCTTCCATTGCAAAATCATTTTGTTTTTCCCGTTACAACGCACGGGCACATTTATACTAGTCTTTCCCTAATAATAAAACACGGATTGACTCCGTGGGTTCACCGTCACAATACGCTTCTTCCCATAATTTTACGCTTTTAGTTTGATTTTAAAACATATTCGAGGTGGTACTAAATTGTTGCTCTATCTATTTCGCTGGGCCTCGGCTGGGCCAAAAAAATGGTCGGCGCCGCTGGAATTTGATCCCTGGTCTGCCATGTTGATCGCAGCGCAACAAACCACTTGGACTAGGCTCCTAAGGTTGCTATTTTGGGCGTCTGGAACCTTAAGAATAAAGGGCAGGCGTACTCGGGCCGAGATCAATGGCCACGGTCGTGATGGGCATGTACGAGTGCTGCGGCCCACTGTCATGATGGGCATGTTTTTCTTTCTTTCTCTGTGGTTTGTGTTAACGGTATAGTGTGATGTCATCTATTATATGCTGGGTGTACGAAGAAAATAAAATATTCAAAAAAATCAAGGCTTATTACGATAGTATAACTCAGCTAGCTACGGCCTCCCACAGCGTTTTGACGCCCTTAACCATCCGATCAGGCTCATGAACGCACCAGATCGTTTTAGCATGCCGCACAACGCCGTTGCCCTCGTGTGCTGCGCGATCTACATGAGCCAGCTGGGCCAACGTCAAAAGGGCCGCTGCTCCTCAGAACGATCTGGGGGCTTTCTGGTGAACCGGGCCAACGCGTTGTACACGGCCTGAACGGCCACGAGGCCCGCGTTTACCGTCACGCCTGCTGATCTTTTCTTCTGTTTTTGCTCGTTTTAATCGGTCTACTCGGCGCACCCGGCGGTGGCGACGCAATGCAATAATGGGGAGACGCTTGGCCGTCCTCCAGTAACGTCCATGGTAGTGCGGATGCGTTACTATCCGTTTGCCTTCTCTACTCCGTCACCCGTACATATATATGTTGCCTGCATCGGATCCTTTGCTGCGTACAAGGGACCAGGCTGGAAGTTGTTTTTCATATTTGTTTACTTATCAAATAGTCTCACCTTACTATTTTACATTAATTTTTACCAGTTTATATACAATTTTTAGGTTGTCAAGCATCAAGAAGCTGCTTTGGAAATTAAGCAAAGAAATAAAGAAAGGAAATAGACATTCTTTGCATGAGAAATAAAGAAGGAAGATGGTAATTATGTGGAGCCGGCAAGAAAGGTAATATGTATTGAATAAGAAATAAAGAAGGAAGGAAAGAAGGAAATTGATGGTAATTATGTGGGCGCCATATTAATCCCAAGAGTAATTAGCAGGTCTAGCAAAAAAGGAAAAAAATTGCATAAGAAATAAAGAAGGAAGGAGAAAGAGAGAGGAAGGAAATGGGCGGTAATTATGTGGGCATCATGATATAAGGAAAGAAAGAGAAAGAAAAACTAATTAACAGGAGGTGCGGGAATCAATGGCAGGTTGGCATGCCATCTTATGAGTAAAAATGATGTGGCATTTTTTAATCCTCACTAAATTCATGTCATTTTTTCTTCCATTATGTTTTCCTTGCTCTTATAATCTTTACTAAATTTGCGCTAAATTTGTAGCACATTGAACATTATGTTTGCACATACAATCCTCACTAAATTTATGTCAATTGTTTCAACCATTCTAACCCACAGGCATATATAGTACTTTTAATATATAAATGGAGGTATAATATTACTGGTCCTCCCATTTCGTATGTCCATGGTGTTTCCTCATACGGAGCTAGGCTATTCTACCAATCGTTTGTCTTGGGCCACTTGGCCTCTGCCACGTTCGCCCGCGTAACGTTCCACCAGTAAAAAGAACCGGCGCCCTCCCAGTATGTCCGTGCGACCTGGCCCAACAAATCAAACCCACCACCCCTTTTAGGAGATAAGGCAAAAAATAGTTGACCGTTACTGGAATCAAACTCACAACCTCCAGTGTTTTTGGCGTTGATCGTGTTACCCTACAAAAAAGTGTTGATCATTTTAAAATAAAAATGAATTTAGTTTTTGTTTCTGTGAAGGAAATATGCCCTAGAGGCAATAATAAAGTTATTATTTATTTCCTTATATCATGATAAATGTTTATTATTCATGCTAGAATTGTATTAACCGGAAACATAATACATGTGTGAATACATAGGCAAACAGAGTGTCACTAGTATGCCTCTACTTGACTAGCTCGTTAATCAAAGATGGTTATGTTTCCTAACCATGAACAAAGTGTTGTTATTTGATTAACGAGGTCACATCATTAGTTGAATGATCTGATTGACATGACCCATTCCATTAGCT